TACTTTTATCAATCATTCAGTACTCCAACAATTTCATTCATTCTTCATTTGCTAGCATTATTACACAAACCGAATATTTCTTATATATTTTGATTTGAACAAATGAACCGAAATAGGGGAGACCGGGGATAGTGTGTTCCCGGGGTAGGTATTTCTTTCTCTAATAATTTAAAAATTAATAAAGTTTAAGTTTTGAAATTTAAGCCAAGTATGTATTTTAATAAGGTGCTTAAGTAGGCCCAAAAATGTTTCGGATAAAATTGCTCATGAAAAATTTTAAATGCAAATTTAAATTTCAACATACCCAAAGTAACTTTTTAAAATTTTACATTTTCACTAATAACTATTTTTATAAACGTTGATTGGACTTAATATTAATTCTAAATGATAAAGAAATATATATTTTATAAAAATATTGACACAATTTATGGTAATTTAATATCTCAAAATTATATTTTAAATCCAGTGTGAAGACATGGGGCAGGTTTTGGCGGGGTGCGATTGACTTATTTTTTGTAATTATATGACAGATTTAAGTGACAACAGTATTTCCGGGTGATATATGTGATATAGATGAACCATTAAATTTAACATATTTGACAATTTATTTATATTTATTTACTTAGAATCAACACTTTTATATAATTTTTTTTTTTAAATCTAAATAAAGAATGCCATGACATGTAACGGGAAAAGATAATAGCTATACCGGGTGTTTTTCATAAAATTTAAATTTTCATATTTTTTAAATTTAGCATTAATTTAAAACTAAATGATTTTTTTCTTAAATATTAATTTCTACCGTAGAGATATATGTAAAGAATAAAATTACGTTTAAACATTTTAGAAAAATTGCTTTGTCTATTTATTATAGCACTTCAATTTTTTATGGACGATATAACCCCGGTCTCCCCTAATGACAGCCCATAGCTGTTAGAACGTCAGAGACTTTTAAAATACGTTTTAAAATCTTGAGTCATTTATTTATTATAAATTTTGAAATTGGCCGATAATTCTCTGAAGGCCTTTCAGTCAATAAAACTCTTCTTTCTCAAATTTTTAAAAAATTTCAAAAATCACGGGGAACTAGAACAAGGGGGTTAGCTACCCTCCCTCTTATGACCTTGTTTATCCATAGACATATCAGATTTTTAATCCATCTTAGTGGGAATAAAATTTTAACTCTTATTAGAAACACCAATTAAATTTTATTTTCTCGGCCTAAGCTTCCAGTTACTTATCTATTCTAAGTTCAAGTTTTACAAGATGATCGAGTTATAATCGGCAAAAATTAAAATTTATAAATTCTTTTCCTCTTCATATTAACATAGAAAGTTATAAATTTTTTTCATAAAAAAAGATCACCTAATTTTCAAAAAAAATAATTATCACCTAATTAATTAAAATTATTTAATAAATAAAAAGTCGAGTTCTTACGACTTGCGACTAGAGTTGTAGTAGTAAAAAAACGGCTCCGACTCAAGCCGATCAAGGAGCCGAATGAGCCGACTCACCTAGTCGGCGCATGTAGTCGGCTCGTGTATTCGACTCGTCGGGTCTGCTCAATTTTTTTGTTTTTTTTTTATAAAATCTGGTAAATTGCTAAATTTTGGGAAAATGATTAATGTGAACAAAATTATAAGATTATGTTATTTTAGTTTTTCGTATTTTTTTGGCATAAATGGGCTAAAATAAGTATTGTTAACATGTTTAAATAAAATTTTAGTGAAGAAGCACCCTAGATAAGTGACAATTGTCATAATCATTGTTTTTAAAGTTTTTCGAATTTTTTTGACGTAAATGGGCTAAAATAAGCATTGCTAACATGTTTAAATAAAATTTTAGTGAAGATGTACCCTAGATAAGTGACAATTGTCATAATCTTTGTTTTTAAAGTTTTTCGAATTTTTTTGACGTAAATGGGCTAAAATAAGCATTGCTAACATGTTTAAATAAAATTTTAGTGAAGATGTACCCTAGATAAGTGACAATTGTCATAATCGTTGTTTTTAAAGTTTTCCGAATTTTTTTGACGTAAATGGGCTAAAATAAGCATTTCTAACATGTTTAAATAAAATTTTAGTGAAGATGTATACCCTTGATACAGGGTTTCCCATTCAAAAAAAGAAAATCATAATATTTTTTAATTTTTTGTCGATTTTTCTTAAACTTTTATTTATTTTAGTTATTCCTTTTTAATTTATTTCTGAATTTTAACTTTTTTTAAGTTTTTTTTTCTTACTGTATCTTTTCTCAATTTATTTCTAACCTTTTGCGATTTTTTTTACTTTTATTTTTCTTACTCAATTTATTTTTCTTCAATTTATAAATTTAGGTCCATTTTTTTAACAATTTACGTTTTTTTTTCATCACATACAGATATAATATTCTTTTTATGATTTATACATTTTAATCTTTTGCAAACATTTTTAACCTTTTTAATCTGGTCATTTTTAATCTTTATTTTTTTGAGCATTTTTGATAATTATTTTTTAAAATTATATTTAATGTTTTTGGCAGTAAATATAATTACAATTGCTAAATTGGGTTTACCTTAACTGTAATACCAAACGATATTCAAATTAATAAAATATAATCATTTTTAAATTCTTATTTTTAATACTCATTAGAAAATTTTTATTATTTAAAACAATAGAGAAGACAGACTAAATAAAATTAATTTTTTTAAGTATATTTCCATGGATTTTAATTCGAGTTATTTATATTCAGTTGTACAATCATCACAGTCCCAATAAGAAATTACAGGGATAGAGGTAAATTATATGTATTTAATATTGAAGATGAGTTTTCCTTACATAATTTTGCTAAAATTTAACAATATGATATATTTTATTTTGTTAATTATAATAATTTAGATTTCGAAGTTAATTTGAATCTGCTTATTATTTTATTTAATCAACTAGCAATCCTGCTGCTCTTATTTATATTTAATTGAGGTTTTAACAATAGAATTAATGCCCAATATGCTAATTGGCTCAGCATCCGATTAGTGAATTTTTTTATTCCATCTCTCATAATTATAGAGGAATATAAATAAATATTTTTTTATTTTATTATTAATCTTTTAAAAATTGAAGATGAGCCTATTCTTATTTGAAACTATAAATTTTTCAAACCACTCCAGGCCCGAATTATTTAAAAAAAAATTATTTATTTTATATAGACGCATACTGAGTTTAGATGTAGTTCAATGTTGGAAATGGATAGGGAAAATTCGATAAATATTTCTGATAATTCTAATATTAAAAATTATTTTCTCCATACTCCCCAAAAAACGCATAGGAAATGTTCCTTATGCCAAAAGATGTATAGAGTTAGTACAGCGGAACAAACGAAATAGAAGAATGTCCTCATCAACACTTAAACAATGCCTCTCGCTAAATTCATGGGACATAAATATATTAAATTTAAATGAAGACCTTTGGAAATAATTTTTTAGCATATTTTATTTATACATTATTATAATTTAAAGTGTAGGTTATTTTATAAATAAAGATTATATATAGTAAAAAAATACGTCCTTATTTATTTTTTTTTAAAATTAATAAATTAGTTTTATCAAAGTCAGATATAAAATAGATGTTTTAACTAAATGGTCTTTAATAAAAAAATTATATGTACTAGGATTTTGTAATGAACTAAACTAGCAAAAATAATTATCAAAAATGAGAAGAAAAAATAGATAAATGCTCAAAAAAATAAAGATTAAAATGACCGATTGAAAAGGTTAAAAATGTATGCAAAAGATTAATAAATCATAAAAAGAATATTATATCTGTATGTATGATGAAAAAAAACGTGTTAAAAAAATGGACCTAAATTTATAAATTGAAGAAAAATAAATTGAGAGAAGATATAGTAAGAAAAATAAAAGTAAAGAAAATCGCAAAAGGTTAGAAATAAATTGAGAAAAGATACAGTAAGAAAAAAACGTAAAGAAATCGCAAAAATTTAGAAATAAATTAAAAAGGAATAACTAAAATAAATAAAAGTTTAAGAAAAATTGACAAAAAATTAAAAAATATTATGATTTTCTTTTTTTGAATGGGAAACCCTGTATCAAGGATATATCTTCACTAAAATTTTATTTAAGCATGTTAGCAATGCTTATTTTAGCCCATTTACGTCAAAAAAATTTAAAAAACTTTAAAAACAACGATTATGACAATTGTCACTTATCTAGGGTACATCTTCACTAAAACTTTATTTAAACATGTTAGCAATGCTTATTTTAGCCCATTTACGTCAAAAAAATTCGAAAAACTTTAAAAACAACGATTATGACAATTGTCACTTATCTAGGGTACATCTTCACTAAAATTTTATTTAAACATGTTAGCAATGCTTATTTTAGCCCATTTACGTCAAAAAACTTTAAAAACAACGATTATGGCAATTGTCACTTATCTAGGGTACATCTTCATTATTTATTTAAACATGTTAGCAATGCTTATTTTAGCCCATTTACGTCAAAAAAATTCGAAAAACCTTAAAAACAACGATTATGACAATTGTCACTTATCTAGGGTACATCTTCACTAAAATTTTATTTAAACATGTTAGCAATGCTTATTTTAGCCCATTTATGCCAAAAAAATACGAAAAACTTAAAACAACATATTCTTATTATAATTTTGTTCACATTAATCATTTTCCCAAAATTTAGCAATTTACCAGATTTTATAAAAAAACAAAAAAATTGAGCAGACCTAACGAGCCGACTACACGAGCCGCATTTAGTCGACTCTAGTCAAAGTCGTTTTATCGACTAGAAACTAGGCTCGAGTCGCAGCTAAGTCGACTCGGCTTAGCCGTTTAACAACACTAATAGTAATGGACTAAATATATAATTTCATTTATTTAATCAAAATTTGAAATAAGTATATTATATTTGTATTGTAAAAAATAAATGTTACAATATAAGTAGGAAGTAATGAAGATTCTGTAAAATAAACAGCACCAAAAAATATTAATTTTATAGTTTATACATAATTTATAATAAATCTTTTAAAATTTTAAAGAAACGGGAAATATTACGAAGATGTAGAATGTTCAACATTATCTTAAAATAAAATAATGAATGTATCTCGCGGTTAAAATTTCTAAATAAATTTCAAGCTTTTTTTAATATTAAATATAATATATAAAGAAATAGATCTGTTTTATAAAAATGAGATTGATAGCCCTCCATGGAGAAAATAAAAAATTATTAATTTTCCTTATTAATTTTAAACATATAATTAGGTATATAATATTGTATAAATTTTCCTAAAAAAAATATATAATGTATGAAATAAATAGGAACATATCTATTAATAAAGAATCGTTATATGTTTTCAAAACTAAAGATACGGTATATTCAGGCTAAAGTAAAATATCATTATTGCAAAAAATTTATGACATTGAAAAAAATATCGTTATTTTATCTAAAATTGCATAATTTTATTGAATTTCGAGTAAAAGGTTTGTTTCGCTTAAATTTATATATGGTGGGAGAAAAAGGAAGATTCATTCTTCCTGAACCACATTTACATTATCGGTTATACTGTCTGGAGAAGACTGGCGACTATAAGATAATTCTTTGATCCCCTTCTTGATTATCATACTGTTTATGGTGGATTCCATTCCTTCCACATTAGATATGTCAGATGATTTATCGTTTAAATCATCCATGTATTTGGATTTCTTGAATCCCAATGGATGTTTCGACGAAGATAAGGCTAATTCCTCATCAACAAAACCTACTTCCTTTATGGGTTCAGATTCTGGAGATGAACCCATAGATCCACGAAGATTGAATGAATCAGTTTTGCTATCCAACAATTGATTTTCGTTATAACGTACATCTAACATGCCATAATCTCCAACATCGTTATCTTGTCTTAAATTATGATTAACATTTGAAGGTTTTTTGGAAGAATCGTTGTCTTCCTCGCTGATTTCTTCAACTCTGTTGGTCGATTCCGATGTGATTATCATATACCGCCGTTCGTCAAATTGGCCGGGAGTGGGGTCCCCATTTTCGCTATTATACGAAGCATCCGACGTATATGTTTGCTGCAGGTAAGCTTTCTTGGGGTGATCTTGGCTAGTCATTAATGACCGATTAAAGACAGAGTTGTGCTGGGAATTTTCGTCTAAAAAATAGGCCTTGTGACGCCTTTTGGTCTCATCCATTAAATTGTTGATACCCAACAACCTTTGCTGGTTTTCATTATCGATAGGAACATTTATTTCTGTATCCTTGGTACCGTAATCGTCTTGATTGTTCATCAATAAGCCATAATTAGCGTTCAAGATCATTTCTCTGGCTTGATGCTGTTGCTCCAAAGGAATATTCTCGGTGAAATTTCTTATATCCATCATCATCTTTTCTTGACTTAGCTTTTGTTCATATGAATCTTTTTTGTCGGGCATCGACATATCAGACGTATGGTTGCTATGGCTACTTTTCACGTTTTTGGCGTTGTGATTGTTTATAACGGAATTTCTAAGAGATTTGTTGGGATTTATACCAGTCCCCGCATTTTTTGAGTTGCCATGAGGCCCGCGTTTATGGGTGACAATTCCGTGATGTTGATTTAAAGCGTAATGAGTTAGTCCTTGACTTACCCCTAAGGGATTTTTGCTATTATCTAGCATGTGATTGTTATTTGAATATTGAGAATTGTCAGGAGGATTCCACACATTGTTTTGAGAACCGTTTTGGGCTGTGACTAATCCTATGTACCCAGAACTTTGAGAGGACATGGAGGCCTTTTCCATGGCTTTTAGCATTTCATTCAACACATTGTGTATTGATTGAATGGAAGCCGAAAGAGCTGGTGAACCAAAACCATGGGTGATTAGGCTGAAATGTGTGAGATTTTTTTGTATGTTGGGTTCTAGGATTTGTTGAGGCCTTGAGTTACCTAGGGGGGATCTGTCTTTATTGAGGAGATCAAGAAGTTCTTTAGTAACTTGTCTTAATTGTATAATTTTAAATATTTTATAAATATCATTAAATTGTAGTTGTATTTCTCAGACTTTATTTAAAATTTTTTACCATTATTTTATGTAAATTCTCAATTGTTATTAAATATGACTTGTTTAAAATATCATTTTTTTTACTTAGTTGCTAGAACCATATTCTTATATGTCGGGTATTCAGATGGGTCATGTTGACGGCATATATATTCAGCCACTTGTTTAGAAGGAAACTCCGTTTCACAAGCATACCCAAAATCTCTGGCTAAATGAACGGCTTCGCCTAAAAATAGTTAATTTCGAATTACAATTTAAAAAAACAAAAATAAAATTGATCTTTTTGTCATTCCTTAAGTTTTCTCTTATTCTTATTTTTTTTAAATATACTGGGGCAAGATAATAAAATTTTTTAAGAAATATTATTGTTTTTTAAAAATATCAAGCATAAATTTATTAGAACTAATAACTATTTCTAATGCACAATTTTAAATTAATGTGAATTATATAAAAATTATATGTATAAATCGTCATATAAAAAACTATAAAATAAATGTGAATTAAATTAAACGGATATAACTGACGGTATAGAAAAACTATAAAATAAATGTGAATTATAAAATATAAAGTGAATATAACCACTATATGAATCACTTAAATGACCCAAAATAGAAATTTGAATTTTTTGAGCCTTTAAAATTTATATATTTAAATGTTGGAAATATAAATTATTACACAAAATGTTTCTTAGGAATAATTGTATTTTGTATGTTATATATTTACATGTAAAATCCAATTTTCGTTGGGATTGAGCTAATTTTTCAATTATCTCATCCTTGCTTGTGGTCAAATGCCTATGAATATTCAAAAGATCTAAACCTTTCAATCTACTTTCAGAAGTTGAACTTCTTGGTATGTTTTTCAGAGACCTCAGGGCCGTACGATATTTTAATTTTTTAAATATACCTTGGCCGGGCCCAAAATTACCCGGGCGGGGCCCAAAATTTTTTTTACAAAAACACCAAAATGAAAAATTTTTTAAAAAAATATCCGGGCCGGGTTGTATATTTTAAAACAGCCTATATTTGAAATCGTTATTATTAGCTATAAAAATCAAAAAGAAATAAAATTTATTTTAAAAAAATCCGGAAAATTAAATCGTAATTTAAACTTTCATAACTTTGTGCCAAAATATAATTTCTGTTTTAATTCCGACTTTTTTTTGACTATATAAAGACGATTAAAAATATTATATTTATTCACTTTTTTGCTTTTCTATTTTAATAATTTCGAAAAGATTAAATTAATATTTTATATTTGTTGTAGAATAATTTAATATAAATTTTATATATGTTTTGATTAAAATATTCGTGTTAATTTAACACGGAAAATACTTTCTCTGGCTCCTTATACAGAGTTCTGTATATTAAATGAAGGTAGTTCTTCTTCAATGGCACCATGGGGAATTCCATAATTAATATTAAAGCATATTCAGCATTAAAACCTTCCTACATTTAATATCACGGAATTTCCTAATAAGCAGAGCAGGTGTTTGGCATATTTAAATATATGAGAAAATATTTTAACATTTATATACTGGCCAGGAGAATAGGGTTATATCCGGATTTTTACCAAATAATTTTAAAACAAATATACCTTTTAAGATTTGAAATTTGAACCAAAAATGAATTTAATAAGATGCTTACTTAAATGGTTCTAAAAATATTTCCCAAATATTGCTCATGAAAAATTTTAATTGCAAATTTAAACTTTAACACTTCTAAAGAAACTTTTAAATTTTTTTTATAAAAGAAAAACAATTTCAATGTTATCATATACAAAAATATTGATAATATTTGTGCTAATTTATATCCAGAAATTAACTTTCAATTAAATTATAAAACCTGAGGTAGAGTTAGACGTGGTGCCTATTAGCGTTTTATATAGGTATTTATTTTTAAGCTATTTTTAGTACAAGTAAAAATTTTATTGGTCGTAATCAAGTTAGGACATTTTAGTCTCTTAATTCATTAGGACTTGGGAGTAATAAATTCAAGTTTGGGCGTAAATAAATATTTCTTACGTTTTGTTTTGTAGGAACCAAGTATAAAATGACTTAAATCTCTGAACCCGATCGTAGGACCCGAGATCATAAACTTTAATATTTATAGGTCCAGGGACTAGAAATGGAATTCGGGTCCAGGATCTGTTTTGTTCAGAACCCTAACTTATTTATTATATTTTTTTAGATATATAAATATTTTTAAGATGACAAGCTTAACTCTCTTTTCCCTTAAATTAAAAGTTGGGTCGGGGGAGGGGGGGTTTATACCATTTATGCCATTGTTGTTATATATATGCCAAGCAAAAATAAATCAATAAATTTTGAAAAATGGATATATTAAAAAACAAATATTAAAGTTTTATAAAATAAATATTTTGATAGACAATTAACTAGCTCCAACAAATTGCTATTTAAATTTTTTGAGTATTTTATATTTTGATTTATGGACATTTGACATTAATATTAGAAGTCTGCCAAATATGTTTCCACTCGCCTGAAGTAGGGGTTGGGTAGAGGTAGTGGCGCTACTAAAAAAGATTTATAACTTTTTTTAAAGGTATTCTTAAATTTTCAGTGGGCTCTTTAAATTTTAGGGGGCTTGAGCCGCTGTTGGGTAGAGGTGTTCTTGTAAAGACAAAAATTATTTTCGATTTATTTTTTTATTGTATACAGTATAATTTTATAATGATTTTTGTGTTTTATTTTAACGAGATGTTACTTTTCTTTAAAAGGAAAATGATAGGCTAATCTCAAAATTAAAATCTTTGCAATTCTGATATTTTTATATAACAAATGGATAAGAAAATACGATTTCGAAGTTTAATTATTAAAATTTGGGATAGTGAATTTTAAAATTATTTAAATTTTTAATGTCGGCTTCTAAAGTATAATAAGAGTGAATTGACGGATTTTTATAAACGAACTCTAGAATGTTTCGAAAAAAAATCAGCGGCAAATTTAAATCTGATTTTAATATATTACCTTCGACTAACGATGTTAGAAGTGTAACATTTGCAGCTTTCCTTCTTCCAGCTGGTAAGTTAAGTCCTATTTTTTCCAACTTATCTCTCAAAGTTTTACCACCGTTTTTGGATTTAGCTCTATTACAAAATAAAAAAAAAATTTTTTTAAACAAAAATATTTGAGATGCTCACAATATTAATAATAAATATAATCTTACCAACCAAGTGCTGCATTCATTTTTTAAATAATAATTAATTTGTTAATAAAAAGTAAACGTTATTAAAATTAATTAAAGCTTCTAATTTTATTTACCTTCGAAGCACTCCTCCTAGCAAAGAAGCATTTAAACATTCAGGAGGTGACAACCTTCTTTGTACCTCTCCCACCGTAACCTTGTACTTTGACGTTGAGCTTAATAAAGATAATCTTCCCGGCACTGAACAGAATATATCGCTTGGCGACACAATGTTTGGAGATATGGTCAGATCTTTGTTTTCTATCTTGGGTCTTATACTAGCCGATGAGACTAATAAATTAATTTTATTAAACAAAATGTTTGAAAATATTTGATTTCAATAATTAATATTTAAATTAATGTAAACCATTCATATAATCCTTTTTTAAATTTAGAAGAAATTCATAGGAAAATCGGTAAGAGTTTACCCTATTTAACAAGCTGAAATCATCCAGCCCCTGACAAATTATTTCTATCTGATTTTTCTGCTCTTTCTAAATTTGATTAGTAAATAATATTAGATAGATCGTATGATCCCTCGAGCTAATTTAGATTTCCTTTCATTTTTCTAATTTATATTTGGGTTGCTAATTTTGATTTGATAGACTGGCCTCCTATACATATAGAAATCACTTATAATAACTTTTCTCACACGACCAGAAATTTACAGCAGTAAAAAATATATAATAGCTGAAAACAAACCATGAATTGTTTTACGTTGATTACGTTACATTATATATTATATACTTAAACTATTATATGGTACTTTTTCATTTTAATTATCTTAAATGTATATAAGAAATACAAATAGCTTTATTTTCTCTATACAAAGAGAAATAAATATCTTATTTGTCCCATATTTGGAAAACATTACAATATTTATAACAAAAATTATGAATTTGTAAGACTGTGTTTCTATAAATTTTGTGATTAATGTCATTTTCTATTAAAGTGTTTTGTGTGAATGAATGATAAAGAATAATAAAAAATTCTCGTTTTTTCAAATTAAATTGTCTTTTTTATTGTTTTATATTTTATGAGGAAAATTTAATTCCTTTTATTTTATACCTATGAAAACAAAACATAACCTAATTTTATTAATTTTTATAGCTGAGAATTTTATGCTATTATTATAATTTTCTTTTTATCTTTTATAATTATTAATATTTTTCTGTCATTATTTACTGTTGGCTGAATCTGGAAATTTCTTTCTTTCTTTCTTTCTCTCTCTCTCTCTTTCTTTCTTTCTTTCTTTCTTCCTTTCTTCCTTCCCTTTTTATCTTTCCTTCCCTGTGTTTCACAGATATATATTTCTATTATTGCTCTTTTGTTTTTGAAGATATTTTTTTCATATTTTCTTTTAGTGGATCATCATTCATAAGCACATTATGCATAAATAATGTGTAAAAAATATTAAATACTTTTCTTGATGACTGAACTGGGCTCATTGCCGGTTGTGGAATTCAAGGAGTTAACCGGATTATTGTGGAAACTTCTCTCCTAAAATTTATTTTTAAATGATAGAATTATAAAGTAGGTATATTAAGGAGGGGGTTATAATAAACTATATTTGCGAATATACTAACCTCTAGTTTTGTTAAAAGCCCGATTCTGATGAATTTTTAAAAACGGCCCCATTAAGATTATGACCAAAATAATATTGTGTAGCTCATAGATGGCAGAAAGGTTTGGGCTTGTACCACCCAAATTTTGAGGCTTATATTTGGTTGAAATCTTAAACGGGCCATTTTTAGAAATCGACCCAAACCGGGCTTTTTAACAACACTATATTAACCTCTAAGGGTTATTTTCTTACCAAAAATATTTAACTATACATTTAATGATAATTAGAAAGGAAACCGTTGGAAAAGAAACCCTAGGGGAAGAACCCCCACCTTTCTCTCCTCTTTTTATATATTTATATTTCGTACAAAATTATAAATTTTTTAAATATAGTTATCACAACTTTCAATAAATTCCTTATATAAGTTTGAGTTGATCCATACAAATTATATAGAATCGATTTTTTAAAAAGGTAAGAGAATTTACAATTTAGGTAATAGTTATACCTTCCAGGCGCGTAGCCAGCGGTTGTAGCAAATGAAAAAATATATAAGGCTTTTAGTGCAAAGTAGAGGTCTGCATTGGGCGGGGTTTCGGCCCGCCCGCCCATCTAAGTGGGCGGGCGGATGGGCGGGTAAATAATTTTTCGATAATGGGCAGGCGGTCGGGTTAAAAAAATTTGAAACTATGGGCGGGCTGGGCGGTTGGGTTAAGTAAATTTAAAATTTTTGTTCAAAAACAAACTAAAAAAAATTGTTTAATTAAATGATCTATAACAATATTTCTTTTTTTATTGTACCAATCGTTTTTTTTAAGTGAAGAACATTTACCTAACTATATTATGTAATAATCACAACAATAAATCTTTTTTCTTAGAATAAATAAACATTTTTGTCTATATAAACGGGCTTGGGTTAAAAATCTTTTATAAATAATGGGCGGGCGGGTAAAAATTTTAGACTAATGGGTTGGCGGGCAAGGAATTTTAGACAAATGGGCGGGGCGGGCGGGTATATATTTTTTTGAAAACTATGGGCTGGGCGGGCGGACGTAATTTTTTTAAAACAAAGCCCGCCCAATGCAGACCTCTAGTGCAAAGTATTCTATTTCAAATAGGTCATATTATATTCTATCTCAAATTTAGCAAAAGGTTCAAATTAATTTAAATATTTTTTCCTTGTGTAGTAATATTTTAACCCACGAATTGAAAGAAGATTTTTTTACATTTTTTTAAAAATTTTAATAGATAAAGATTCTATTTAATTTTTCTCTACTAATAACTATGACTAGGCAAAATTTCCAGAGTGTATGAAATGTTCAATCCTAAGTGACAGAATTTGCTGAATATAATTATTTCAGAGACTTCTTGTGCTACAAAAAAAAACAGCAAGAAGAAGGCCCAGCAAAATGAAGCCTTGGATATTAAGCATTACAGCATTTTTGGATCTAATAAAACTTATTTTGATTGTATTTTAAGAAATATCAGAATGACCTAAACCAGATATTGCATCTGAAGCTGATACATTATTAGATTCAAACAGCCGATTTATTTTGCATTAAAATGTGTTAAGATTTATTTCAGTTTTATGCAACATTTTTCAAATGGATTTGAGGTTATGAAAATCACGACTTTTATTATATTACAACTCAAAAAATTAAGAGATAAAGTAGATTAAGAATTTTACAAGATATTTATGTTATTGTTGAGGTGAGGCGAAATTATATGATTTTGAGATTCGTAAGCCTCGACTTGCACCTAGACAAGCAAATATTTCCAGTATTAATGTGGACTCAATTGAGTATTACCATAAAATAACCGTATTATTTCACTTTTGGATATATTTTTTGGTGAGACGATAGTTTAATAGGTTTTCCCGACATGCGGCTTAGGTTTTGAATTTAAAACCATTAATTGAGCTCGTTTTATTAAATTTAAAGATCTGATTTTGCCAGAAAAGAATTCTAATATGTGTAGAATAATACCCACCCCATATATTTCAGATAATTTATGGCCAACATTTGAAGAAATCATAATTAATAGTAATTTTCTCATAACCTTTTCATATTCTTAATGTAAATTGGAATTTCATGATAAAATTGTCTGAAATTTAGAAAATTTTAGCGCGAAATGTATTATCGCGAATGCATTATCGCGAATGTCGATTACCGCGAAAAAATATTATAGCGGATGCATTACAGCGAATGCATTATCGCGAATATAATATAGCGAATGCATTACCGCGAATGCATTATAGCGAATATAATACAGCGAAAATATTATAGCGAATGTATTAGCGCGAATGTAATACCGCGAAAATGTTATCGCGAATGTATTATAGCGAATACATTACAGCGAATGAATTATCGCGAATGCATTGTCGCGAATATATTACCGCGAATGCATTATAGCGAATATATTATAGCGAATGAATTATTGCGAATACATTATAGCGAATGCATTATAGCGAATGAATTATCGCGAATGCATTATAGCGAATGCATTTTAGCGAACGCATTATAGCGAATGGATTATCATATCGCGAATGTTATCGACTTTTCGACTAACTTAGTTGAATCTGAAAATTAAGTTAAAATAGGGATTGGCTCTAAAAACATTTTTTTATTGAAATTAAGGCTAAGGTTTTTCTTTTTTTTGACTCAAAATATATATAAAAGATTCTAAATAATAAAATAGATTTCGCTTTTTCATCTAATCATTTTAAATATTAAACATCAAGTTTTTTCTTTTTAATTTATTGAAAATTTGTACAGACAAAATTGAATTTATCATATTTCAATGTCATAATTAGTAATAAAATAAATAATATAAATGTCGTAAATTAATATACCTGTTCTTCAGTCTGCATTTTTTAGCTCTGATTATTTAAAATCCTGCCCTAAATTTTCAAATTTCGTTATTTTGAATATTTTCTCTGTATTTTATAAATTGTTTTATACGGAATTTAAGATAAGTAAATAATATTAAAGCATAATTAAAATGTTTTTCACTATAATATTTAACGGCATAAAAATATGGATTTGTGGCCTTCTGTCTCTCTTAAAGTTGAAATTGTTTTAAACCGTATCATGAATAATAAACCAATTTGCACAGTGAGATTTAGAAATAATTAAATAGACAGAATATGAAATTAAAAATCTTTTCCCATTTCAGAAAGTCTCATAATCATTATGTTTAAAAATATTTATAGTAGGCATTCCCTTTCAGGCAGAATAATATGATTTGAAAATAACTTACAAAATATTAAATTTGAACTAAATTCACATATCATCTCTATTGAAACCACCAAAATATATAATTAAATATATTTTTTATCATTTTAAGATTTATATTTGAAACAGGAGTTGGCATTTATTTTTTTCAAATTTAACAATGTTTAAATTTAAAAAAGATAAGATTTTATGTTTTAAAGCTATAAAATTAATAATTTTGACGATTACAAAAGATTTAATAAGATAGAGGTCTTAATCCAATGTTCCCCTTCATCTAATCTTATTTAAAAAATTTTAAAAATTATCAACATATTTTTTTAGCGCTGGAAAGGGTTAATCATATCAGTAACTAGGGGCTAGTATAATTAGGTCGAATTAATTAAATTATGCTTAAAAATATGATATAATAAGTATTCATTGACTATTATAGCTTTAAATTCTATTTTTTTCCCTTTAACTTTCACCTTTTCTGGTGGTTGATAATCAAAAGAATTAGAAAAAAAATTAAAAAATTCATTAAAACTTAAACATTTTTTAAAATAAAATATCACATTTTGAAATTTTTTATGAATTATTTATATACAAATGGTGTATTATTGATAATAACAATTATCCTATAGGAGACTTAATAAACCAATATAATCTACAAGCCTGGGGTTTGGGGCTTGTTGGGGCAAAAATTAACTTTTACTAGAATCAATCTTAAAATATAAAATATTAAAATATTTATTAATAGGGTCTTTTGTAAAAAACGACTTAATCTAATCGTTAAAAATATTGAGTATACCAAATTCCATATATTTTTTTAATAAAATACGTATTTCATAAATAACAAGTGACGTGTTTTAGAGGTAAATAATTTTAAAACGCTACTTTAAATAAATATAGACAATTAAGCTGGTTCTCTGGTTTTTTGGAACTTAATAAATGGGTTAAATATAATTTTGATTGCATTGTGATAATGTTAGTTGTAATGCATTCGCGATATTGCATTCGCGATAATGCATTCGCTGTATTGTATTCGCTCTAATACATTCGCTATGATACATTCGCTATGATGCATTCGCTATAATGCATTCGCGCTAATATATTCGCTATAATACATTCGCTATGATGCATTCGCGATTGCATTCGCGGTATTACATTCGCTGTAATGCATTCTGTTGTAGCTGTTGAAAAAAAGAAGAAATAAATTTAATATAATACATCAAATGTCAGTTATTTTCTGACAGGTGAATTAAGTTTTCCTTGGGGGAAGAAGAGGAGGTGATGAACACATGATGGGTTGATGGGAAAGGATTCTTTTGTTATCCATTTTGGGATGAAGAGTTTGGATTAATTCGAGAAGATGTCAGCGAGGAACTAATAATGGACCTTTGGGACATGAAGAATTAGATAATTAGATATTTATGATTTGTAATTTTTTTGATAATGTATAGATATTGTTGTTGGTGTTTTTTAATAAAGAAATTTGAGTCGTATTCTTATTCTTATTATTATGAAAGGATGGCTTGTAATACATTCGCTATAATATTTTCGCGGTAATGCATTCGCTATAATGCATTCGCGCTAATATATTCGCTATGATACATTAGCTATAATGCATTCGCTATAATATCTTTTCGCGGTAATCGACATTCGCGATAATGCATTCGCGATAATACATTTCGCGGTAAAAGTTTCGCGGTAAAAGTTTCGCGGTATTGACGTGATACGATGTACCTTACCTAGGTTCATTTATTGAATAGAGCAATCCAATAAAAAAATATTTTAAATAAAGTATTTTTAGTACCTCTTTCTGGAAAAATGGCGTAATACATTTTTTTGTTTGGTGAAAATTTACTAATTTAGATTGCTGAAATTTTATATAAATATTATCCTTAAGCATTTAGCATTATTCACACAAAAAATTAGACTTTAAAAGATTTATTTAATAGACATATAAAAGCGCTTAATTGTAATAGAGAGGTGAGTATTGTCTGGCCATGTATTGATTGGCCACAATTCGCACATTCACATATTCATATTGAAATGAAAAACTATTGTAAAATAACATTTGGTGAAATTTCAAATGATGAACAAGCTTAAGAATGTTTATCAAAAAGTAATAAAATTCTTAAATAATTTTCACATAATCTCATCTAGCTCATAAACTATTATAGATATCACTTTGATTCCTAATTTATTTTAAAGATTAATAATTAGTTTACACATTGATATAAAATTTGTTTGGTTAAACCCAAATTTTAATACCTTTTTTTCAAAAAAGAAAACATGGCCATTCATGGCACATTTCCCCTACCTATTAAACTATCGCCTTACCCATTTTTTCAAATTAATCAAATATTTGTGATTCATTTATGCAATATTATATTAGCTCATATTGTTTATTTTACAATATTTTACTAGGGGAAATGTGGCATTAGTGGTCATATTTTTGCTTTTTTCAAAAAAGGAATCATGATTGGAGTTTAACTAAACAAATTTTATATCAATGTGTAGCCCAATTCTTAATCTTTAAAATAAAATTTGAATCAAAGCTCTATCTATAATAGTTTATGAGCGATGAGGTTATGTGAAATTTGTTTTTCTGACCAGTCAAAGCAAGTATATATTTACTGGCATATACTATGTGTTAACTCCATAATATATAATTTAAGAATTTTATTATGAATATGAAATATTACAATAGGAAATACTTGTAAAAGATCTGTTAATGTTTCTTCATTTTTTAAATATATAAAAATTTTATTATATACATCATTGTTATTATTACATAAGCATGAGCCTATTCTTCACAATGAATGCATTTAATCCCCTCTTTCTTGCTCTAGGAAAACTTCTTTTTGCATATAGAACAACTCATTATAATCTTCTTTAGGTTTATTAAACTTTAACTCATAAAATCATGTGCAAATATTCTTATCAAAAAATAAATAATTTTTAACATAAAAATTTATATAATTATATCTATGATAACTAATTATTTAACAAGTAATTCTAATATATAATTAATACCATTAAAAAATATTCTAACATTTAATTATTATCATTAATGCTAACATATTTAGAAGTTTTAACTATTTTATGCTAAACCCATTAATGATTTTCTAGCTTGTCTTGTATTAAATAATCTTATAAAATTTCCTCCGGAGGTTTGGTGAATATTAATTTACTTGAATTACATTCCATATGGGGAATTTGTTCCATTTTTTTACCAAATGTTGGTTTACACAAGCTCTTTATCAATATGAATGTATGAATTCACCTGTCTATTATCAATAAGCTCTAATTTTTTGGTGTGAACTATGCGAAATGCCTAAGAATAATATTTATATATATCAATATCATAAATTAGTAATTTTTTCACCAAACAAAAAAATGTATAACAAGATTAGAAAGAAGTACTATACAGTTTAAGATATTTTTTAGTTGGATTGCTCTAATCAATAAATAAACTTAGATGACTAATTTTGAGAGAAATTGGTCAAATAGATAAAAAGTTAAAGGTGGTGGCCAGTCATCAAACATGACCATTTATGCCACAATCTCCCCTATTTCTATTTGTGTTCGAAATTATCATTTTTTAAATATGATTGGTTGTAATAAATTATGATTCATTTTAATAAATTTATAATGTTCCAAAAACTATTCCAATATTAAAAAAATTAACCCCCCCCCCCCCACTTATAAAATTTTATATTATAATTGCAGTGAAAAAGTTTCAAATTATTTTGATGAAATGTTAGATAAATATAACTCCAAGGAAAATTTGAAATGGATATTAGCGTATTTATTTTTGCGGTGAATATGATAAATAAATGCAAATTTTTAATAATAAAACAGTAATATTTTATATTTTAGCCAGTATCTAAGTTATTGGCTGGTGGAAGGAATTTGTCCCCTATCCCCCCCTCCCCACTGTCTATATACCTTACCTACTCTCTCTGAGAAAAGTATATGTACACCTTATCCACAAATCCAAGAGTGTCAATAGACTTTTCAGTTTGGCAGGACTTTCAAAGTCTAGCTATAAACCAATAATTTTTCAACTTCTTAAGATTTGTGTTTAAAAAACCTTCTTGAAGGAGCTCTTGAAAATTTTGACCTGGCTGGAGCCCCCAATAATTCATCTCTATTGACGTCACTTCATTAACCATAATATATTTTACTATAAAATCATATTATTTATTTTTTAAATGTGATTGACACCCATCCTTCATATATATAATTTGTTATATATTATCATTTTTATAACTCAATTTCGATAATATTAATAATATATTTTTAAATGTTTTATTTGCCAATAAAATTTTAAAAAACATTTTATATCAATCCAGAATATAAAATTTATATAATATTTAATACGATTTACTTATTCAATTACATAACAAATTTTTCATGATTTTATTTAAATGCATAAGGAAGCTATATATACAATTTGTTAGGTTTGGTAAGCCTCTCCTGCCCTTTTCCACTATTAAAGATTTCCATGATATTTAATTTCGTAGTAGAGTAAAAAAAATTTATTATTATTCCTTAGTAAATGAATATAATGTTTCTAGAACTAAATTATACCGTGAAAAGCTATCATTATATCATTATTTTTAAATTCACAGATGAAAATGAAATGTTTAGAATACAAACAATAAATTGATTAAACCATCAGTGGAAAAAGATCCCAGCATAAAATACAAATGTGCTGTTAAAATTGTAAAAGAAACGTCAACTTTTGTTCTTCTTTATATTATATACTAAAGGTCTGCATTGGGGGGGGGGGGGTTATCGCCCACCCGCCCATACTTTGAATGAGCATGGTCGGGTTTTTTAAATATTTTTAACATTGGGGAGGTGGCGGGCGAGTTGAGAAATTTTTTTAATTAATGGGCGGGCATGGTTAGGTAAACTTTTGATATTTTTCAGGAGAAATGAGCAGAACAGACTTTAATTTATTAAAAATAATAGTTTTATTTCATAACATATTATATATGTTTAATTAAAAATACATTTAAATAAATAAATAAAGAGCCAAACCAGCCATTAAAATAATTTTTAAGCATTAGGCGGGAGGGCAGGTTAAACAAAATTTATAAATAAATAGGCGGGCGGGCAAATTTTTTAAAAAAATTATAAGTGAGATGGTCGGGTTAGATAAATTTCAAAACAACGAGTGAGCGGACTTTTTGCTAAAAACCCGCCTATTGCAGACCTATTATATACATCAGAATGATAATATCGTAAAAATAAAAGTAGAGCATAATTAAAATTTCGACATTAATTAATCCAAAACCAATACAATATTTAGTTTTCGAATTGCCTAGACTAAGGTCATGTTTTTGAAAAGGGCCATTATTATGTGACTAAAAAAAGCTAAAAGCATTAAAAACAGATATTATTATACCATATCATTTTGGGGTGGAGAAGTATTTTCCAGGAATTGAATAAATCTCTGATGTTGATAATTTAGATGTATGGGAGTCGATGGGCTTCCCTGGTCCAAAGACACAAAGCTTTTTGTGATATTATTTATATCGGAAATATCAGAATTTTCCATCATTTCCTGTCGTTCGCTAATTTGGTTCATTATATTGTTATTACTCATAAGTGTTTTGGTATGGTAATCGTTTATATTGTTTCTAATAATTGAATCAATACATTTTTGAGCTAAAAATATAAACATATAAATTTATACATTTAAAAATTTGGAATTGAAATAGGAATAAAAAAAAATAACTTGAGTTTGGGCTATCCTTGTTTGGAGACTTATTCAAAATCGATGTACTATTATAATCCTTTTTCTTCATTCTATTAGCAGTCCTAATGGCCGGGTTGAATTCCATTTCTGAAGCTTTTCTCCTAAATTCCTCCCTCAATATTTCCTGATCAAATGGCACTTGAAAATCCATTTTACTCGCTAAAGGTGGTGTAGCTGAGAATACTTTTCTTTTGTTTGATTGATCCATCATTTTATGGGTGGGACTATATAGATTAGGTGTCATGCTTCTGCTCTCCTTCTCAGCAGCATCTATCATGTGCTTCATTTTTTTATTATGAAAATTTTGATTTTGCTTATCAAGAGACGACATAATTATTTTATTACTAGATTCTAAAGTAACCAGTTCTTTATCTGTAGCCATTCTCTGTTGAAAATTCTCCATTCCCTCTAACATTCCAAGCTTTGAAGAACATCTCATCTCGTCCCTTCCTTCTTTCTCCATGTTCAAAAAATTTTCTTGCGACAATTTAGGTAACCTAAACATATTCAAGTACCTTCCGCCTTCAGATCCGTGCAAATTATGAGCTGACTCCTGAAATTGATTAAACTCCATCTCCAATATTTGCCTCTCTCTTTCTCTCATTTCGAACAATTTCCTCATCTGATCCTCAGCCTCCTCTTGGAAAGTTTGGTTAACGTTATCGATATCATTGTTATTGTTATTAATAATCCGTTCAGAGTTAACAGCTCCCAGGGCAGCGATTTGCTGTTGCAGATTAAGGTGCCGATCCGTGTAACTTATCATAGTAGCATATCCGTCCATCATGGGTATTTTTTCTCTTCTCTCGTTAAGACTTTGTTCATTTTCCTCTAGGCAACCTTTATCCTGATCGTTTATTAATTCAGGCATGGCGCTTGCTAGCGCCTCGGTTTGGTATTGTGATATAGTGGAAATCGAATTGAGAGATCCTGAATTCGAATTTATATCTGATCTCTTGTTTTTGCCTGTGGAGATTCTTTGTTTAGCGGTGTAGGATACTTCTTTCGGTTGTAAATTTTCTAAACTGTTGAAGGAATCGACGTAAGTTTTGTTGGGTTCTTCGGATCTCTCATCGAAGCGTTGCTCAGTTGTCATATCAGGGGTTGGGTGATTATTGTTAAGATTATTGTGTGAATTGGTATTAGAAAGAGGTATGAAGTGATGGAAAGTGGAGTTTTGACCTTGTATAGCTCCCGTAAAACCGGAATGGTAAAATTGATGTTGATTATGTTGGGTGATATTATTATTATGCTGCTGACTATGATTAAGATGACCTTGGTTGAGTAAAATAGGGTGATCTTCTAAAGCTCCTGATCTAAGCAAATTATTTGGAGCTGGAACCGTCATAGAAAAACTGTCATGTTGGTGATTTAGGTGATGGTGATTGTATATGGGATGGGGATGAAGCGGGGGAGGGAAGTAAGGGACATCACCGACCAATAGATGATGCTGTTGGCCTAGGAATTGTTGTTGCTGAAGTTGAATCAAGTCATCTGGATATAGAGGTTCAGAATTATGATTGTTTATTTGCCTCCCGTCATGATCATGGAACGGATAATGATGTTTGCCTAAATTACCTGTAGGAATACTAAAATTGTAAGAATGACTCCTCATATCTTGCTGTGATGAACCATCTATAGATGAGGGAATAAACAATAACTTGCGGGATAAGGACTGTTGAGCTAAATCGTTGTAATGATTGAAAGTCGTAACCATGTTATCGTCTAGGTTGGCGGAGGTAAAATAATCATTTTTGTCCTATATAAATGTACAAAATAAAGTTTATTATATTATTAATTTTGTTGACATTTTTTTGATAAAGTATGTGAAAGTTATATATAATAAATTTTAAATTTTTTTTGGCAAAATTATAATATTTTGTTTCTATTCCAATGTAATATTTAAAATAAGAATAGCATTTAAACAACATTTAAAATACGACTGTTAAAAAATCCTTTATGTCATGCCAAAAAGGCTGAGTATACGCTTTTGTATCTACCCAAACAAATCAAATAGATTAAAGATTAAACATCACGTAGATGAGAGTTTGGTTATAATATAATAAACCTCGGGATATAGAAATCTGACTTTTTCTAAAATAATAAACTTAAATTTTTACAAGTTTTTAAAAATAAAGATTGTATATATAATATAATAAAGGCTTTTAACACCAATATTATATTATATATATTCAGTGGAATATCTTAAGGTTACACTAAAATAGAATTTTAAGGATGAGAATCAGCAATTTAGATACCAATTTTAAAAATCTAAAAGACCCAGAACAGAAATCATAAATAAGATTTTATAACACATTTGTTATGTATATGATAAATACATATAATATTTATTTGCAAAAATTTAAGTTCTAAGTTTTACAACATCCCTATGTTTATTTAACCTTCCCCGTATATGGCCTATGATTTTACGAAAACTTTTTTCCAGATAAATTCTGAAAAAGGAATTTAGGTAATTATACAAATATATATAATAAATTACTAAAAACAATTCGTTTTTAATTATGGTGACTGAATTGTCCGCGTTTACGAAAATTATTTGTTTCTCGAAATTAATGTCATCATTTTTACAATTGTTATTAATAATACTGGTAATAGCATCAGATTTATGATTGCTCATATTATTAAAATGTATATCATTCGATTCCGTAATTGTTAAGTTTGCATCGGGATAGGAAGATATAGATAAATTATTGATAGAATCACCGGTATTAGAAATTAGAGCAATTTCTTGATTAGATATTCTGTTTAATTTTTTATCGTCGATATTGTTAATGTACACCTCATTCATCTCATTGCTATCACTTAAGATGGATGTTTTTTTCTCCTCTTTTTCAATGAATTCAAGGTCTGAATTAGCAATCTTTTTCGGGGAACTATAACCGTTGAGGCTCCGTATAAAATCCTTTCGAACCATTGCATCGTAATTCGCCTGCGTAAAAATATTTTTCCCCTTCGTCACCCTGGCATTATCGTTGTCCATTTTTATGTTCTCACCTTCCATTTTATTAAGTATTGATATCTCTTTACCATTGATAGGTTTTAGATCACCGAAGGTATGACTAGATAGCCTTTTAATATTATTAAGGTTGATTCTTACTATGTCCTCCTCAACTAGTGCATTTTTTTGTAGAATACAATCCTGATCCTTATATTCAATACTAGAATTAGCACTGAGAAGCGCGTGGCCATTTATTTCATCGGAAGTTAGAAACATGAAATAGAATCAAGTTTTAACGTCTTTCGCAACATTAATTTATAATCGAATCATCTCTTGAATGGTATATTTTTTATAGAAATTTATATATATAGTATATAATTTTTGATTTTTTAACGACCAGAATATATTATTCGACAGCCTGAACCTCCTCAAAAATTGCAATAATAAAATGACCAGAACAATTTAAGTATACATTTAATATTATTTTGCCACTGTTAATATTTTATGATATTTTTTCTTTTATAAATTTTTTTTATTTTCTTTTATCGATAAAAATTTATTATAAACTTAATACAAAATACAATTTAAAAAAAAATTAATATAAAATACCTACGCGTTTATCTTTTATGTCAAATAAAAATAATTTTTACTTACTTAACATTAGACAATTGTTAAATAATAATAAATATAAAAGACATAGTAAAAGGGATTGAACAATATTATTTATTTTTTATCTAACAATAATATGATATAAGAAAAGAATTTGTTTTAAAAAATGATTAAATGGTATATAGAATAGTATAGATATAGATATAGAGTAAGAGAAATAATATAATACATAAAAAAAATTATATAATTTTATAAAAGAATAATAAAATTTTAATTTTGTTGATATTATAAATCCTCCCTCTACAGTGCAACATAATTTTAGAGTTGTATTTGTAGATTTTCACGAATAAAACTTATATATACTGAAAATGTTTTGCTCACAGAATATTTAATGGGTGCTCTAATTATATTTAGTATGAGTATGGCATGCGCTAAAATTACGATGCAATTACCTATATTTCAAGAATAATCAATATACATAATATCCATTTTGTAATTGAATTATTCCATACTTAGGAGAAGCTCCCCATCATTGACTTGGAGGGTGAAGGGCCATGGTGATGAGCACATTAAAATTTTATAAACGTAAATTTAATTATGCAAAACCAGGTGTCTATATATACAACTCAGCGTATATTCATAAAACATATTTAGACGTTTTATAGCCAGTTGTATAATGTGATAATCGGGTAGAAATAAAACGAAACATTTTGCTAGGATAAAAATGAGAAAATAATGATATTAATCCTCGTAAATTTTTATTATCGTTTTTGATCACAAATCTGGAATGATAAAATAACCTTTTATACGATTTTATAAAGGATCGCTAGATAATGGAATAGGGTTGATTTAAAAAATAGTTTAATAAATTTATATGCGAGGTTTTCCTAATTTCAAGTAATTATTAACCCCCCCCTTTTTTTTATCCCTGAGGAGTCTAAGGTAATTAATCTAGGAATCGAATATGTCCTGAACTATCATATATTAACAGTAATAAGATAATATTTTTTGCCTAATAACATCATTAATTTAGTTTAGCAATCTAACGATCAGTTCATTCTTAAACTTAGTAGTATCACAATTCCCCCCACCCTTCTATCATTGCTGATATTATACCGATAATTAAGTTAAATTGATATACTCTGTATAATTCATATTAAATAATTGAACCTCAAAAGCCATTTAATGCTGTTTATGTTTACTTATTAAATAATACTATTACCTAAAACAAGATAAAAGTAAATATATACGCATTAAAAAAATGTAATATTATATAATTGTAAAAGAATAATAAATTTTTTAATAATCAATGGTTGAGTAGGTTTTCAGGTAAGAATGTTACCTTTATTTTTTTTATTAGATATATATATATAAAGAAAAATGAAAGTTTTTTTTTGTAATTAGACAAAAAGAAAAATTATTTTTCATTTTATACACATCATTTAAAAAATGTGTGTAAATAATTATTTGGTTTTTGAATAGGTTATTTTTTATGAGTATTAACCAAATAATCATTGGCGTACGCAGAGGGAAGCCAAAAAATGGAGATGCCGGATATATTTTTAAAAATATTATTGTTTATATAAATTTATATTTGTTAATATTTATTCGTATCTCATATTAAATATATATTTAATTACATTTATTATCACATTTATCTACTAAGTTATTTTATCAATTAAATTCGATTTTAAGTTTTCCGGCGTAATATTTACTTATTATTTTCAAATTTTTAGTGGCGTAATATTTATCTACCATTTTCAAATTTCTAGTCAAATAATAATTATTTCTGAAACTTCTTGTCCAACAGGGAAAAAAAAATTGAGTCCAACGAGATAGAGTATCTGACATCAAGCAGTAACAGCTTTTAAGGAGTTAGAAGAGCCAATTATTTGCTATTACTGAAATATCACAAGGGCCTGAAAGAAATATTTCCTCAGAAGCAAGAAAATTATTGGATACAATGCTTATTCCAAATTTTATTTCTCATTAGAATGTATTATTTAATTATACAAGTATTTTAAGTATACTTTTCAAAAACATGACATTGACTTGATTAAGAAAATGTGAATAGCGGAGAGCATTTTATTAGAACTCAAGGAAATTAGGGCTAATGTTGATGAAGAATTTCATATTTTATATTTTATTGTTGAGACAAAAGCAGAGCTATACGTGTTTAATATTTGTCTCCCTCGACTTGAAGCAAGGCAAGCTCATCGTTAAAACATTAATATAGGATCAGTAGAAGAGTATATCTTAAATCAGATACATTTATAACCCAAATAAATGGATTTTTAATTCATCATGCAGCACTTACTAATCTGCAAATAACTTCCACAAAAGCCTTCCCAACCTTTTTCAGATGGTGATAGAAAAAAAAATATTTGTTAGATTTTTATTATGTAATATGTTAAAGTATCTTATGATGCCTTACTAGCTGAATAACTAGGTTTATAAGATTAACTATGGTTAATATAGTCCCAAAAAATGTTATGGATGCTTTGCATTATTTCAAACACATTTTAGATTAAATTCCCAATGTATTAAAAAGGCTTATAAACACTTCCCATTAGTAAATTAATGAGAGAACATTCTCTTTTTTAAGAAGAATAACAGAGGCCTGGAGAAGTACCATTTGCAGGGCACTGCCCTGTTTTTTTAAAGATTTTTTACGGCCCGGCCTAGGTTTTTTTAAAAAAAATTTCAGGCCCGGCCCGGCTTTTTAAAAAATTTCAGGCCCGGCCCGGCTTTTTAAAAAAAATATTTTGGTCCGACTCGGCTTTTTTTTAAAAAATTTTTAGGCCCGGCCCGGATTTTTAAAAAATAAATTATATTTATTTTTGATTTTTCTAGCTAATAATAACGATTTCAAATATAGGCTGTTATAAAAAATACAGTCCGGATTGGGTTTTTTTTTAAATTTTGGGCCCGGCCCGGGTATATTTAAAAAAATTAAAATACTGTCCGGCCCGGGGGCCGCGCTTGCAGGTCTCTGAAAGTAGATTGAAAGGTTTGGATCTTTTGAATATTCTAGGCATTTGACGACAAGCAAGGATGAGATAATTGAAAAATTAGCTCAATTTCTATTTTGGGTCTTTTAAGTGATTCTTTACATATAATTTTTTTATAATTCACATTAATTTAAATTGTGTATTAGAAATAGTTATTAGTCCTAATAAATTTATGCTTGATATTTTTAAAAAACAATAATATTTCTTAAAAAATTTTATTATCCCCCAACCAGACCAAATTCCTGCGTACGCGCCTGCAAATAATACTTCAGTTTCTCTATAAGTTAGCAATCCTGATAATCTTACGAAAATTAAATTCCGAAATAAAAAAAATTAAAACCTCGGCCAATAACTAATTAACTTTAAAGTAGCCAAGACCAATTGATACGAAATATAGGCCCAAGCCAATAAATAAAACTCTTTACACATCTGAGTCAGGCCGATTCTTAATATTTACTATTTTATAATTTAAATAAAACTCTTCCCCAGAGGCGAAACAGTTATCCCCGATCGTGAGAGCTTAAGCCATATTTGAAAAATCTGAAGGTCTCAATGGCCATCCAAAATATATGAAATTGAAAAACAAATTTCCAAACCCCCCTCTCCTCTTCGGAAATTTGCATGTTTCTACACCCTTCCCCCTTCCTCATTTAATTTTTAAAGATAGTATGGGGAGAGGGACACTTTAAGTACAATGGAACGTTGGTCCACTCTAGTTATAATTTAAATATCTTTATAGACTTAAGACTTATATGAATAATTATGTTATACATGATTGGTTAAAATATTTTGAAAAATATTTACTATTTAATTTTTCAAAGGGCGTTTTAGCATACCAAATGTAACAAAAAATAATGCAAACTTTATCGTTTGGATTTATGAAGTTTTTAAAATATCAATATTTTAGGAAATTTATAACCTCTAATATTTTTAATCTGACAATTTCTTAGAATCATAAAACATGAATTAATATATTCTGAACGATATTTGTAAAGTTTGGACTAGATCATGGTTGGTCATTAAATGGTTAGTTTTATTAATTATTGCAAATTTATTTTGATTTATTTATCATTTAAAATATTAATAATATAATATATCGGAGAGTGGGGCTAGCGGTTATAAGATATTATAAAGAACAATATATTTATTTGAATCAATGCCTATAACTATAATCTATAAATGGCCTTATTTTCAAAAATACGCTCATATTTTTTAGATTTTATTTTTTGTAAAAGTTGAAATTTTGCCCAACAAGCCCTAATAACAGGGTTAGGCAAACACTGCAAGGGACTTCCTAATTCATTAGTTTTTTTTGAGCTATAACGAATTGAAATGCATTTTTATTTAGTAATAATGATACGTATAGAATTATTTTATTATTTAAAATATCATAATACATTTGCATTAAAGCTAATCATATATAAAAATTGAAACTTAATTTTGGCTAATTTAATAAACATTTTGGACATATAAAAATAAGGATCTTAAGGAGAGATTATGATTTCCTAACGTAAATCTTAAATAAATCATACGCTGCCATGAAATCTTCCTTCCAAGATTTTGATTATTTTTTTGCCACAATTGACGTGTTTGGCTTAGCAAGCCTCGCTCTAAATTGCTTAATCATTTGAAAAAATATTTTGACAAAATAAATACTCATAAAACTTTATCAATTATGAAAGAGGGTTAAAACTTTTCTATAAAATTTAATTTATATATATAACTTAATAAAAATTAAAATTCTGTCATGTAAAAATTTTTGAAATTTTACTTCAAAATTTTATTTTTTAAACAAAATTTTTAATAATTAATTATTTCAAAAAGTTTTCTGCTTATAGATACATACTAATAAAAGCTATATTAGGATAAAAT